AATCTTGAAATACACTTAAACTTTTTTTTTGTAGAGATAGGGTCTTGCTACATTGACCAGGCTGGTCTTGAACTTCTGGCCTCAAACATCCTCCCACCTTGGCTTCCCAAAGAGCTGGGATTGCAGGAGCATGCCACCACAGCCCACCTAGAACTTCCCTTTTTTTAAAAAAAAGATGTGGGGTACAATTCAGGGTTAGGTATACAAATGTTGAATATGCAGGTACCCTTGTTGATGAGGTATGCCCTGCCCCCCAGCAGTTTCCCTCAACTGTCAATCCCACCCCCTCTCCCCTGACAGTTTCCCACTACTGCCAATCCCTTTCTTATACTATTAAGATAATTGTTCAAGGACCACTTATGAGTGAGAACATATGGTACTCTGTTCTTTGAGAAATTCACTTTTTAAATTTCATATACACTGCATACAGATAAGCCTTTTTTGTGTGTGTTTTTCAAAAATGAGGTAAAATATACACGTTTTAAACAAAATTCAACAGGCACGCAAGGATATTTTATAAAAAAATACGTTTCCCTCTTCCCCTGTTCCCCAGCCACCATCAGCATTTGCTGTCACCAATTTCCTGGGTAGCCTTCAGGGCCTCATTTCTTTTAATAGATGCATTACATCCCATCGTATGGATGTACCAAATTTATTTTGGTGTCCCATTAGAGGAACACTTAGATTGTTTCTAATGTTATTACTCACCAGGATCTAAATTCTGTGTCAATAAGACTGACTCAGCCTTTCTTAGCAATATGGTGTTCCAAATTATAGCTGTATCATAATTCAGGTATCCATTTTCGTACTGATGAAAATTTAGGTTTTAAATACTTAAGAGTATCTGCTCTTAGGGCACTTGTGCCGTTAAGCCCTTCTGCCATTTTGCTGTCAATATAGTTATGTACTCTTCCACCCAACCGTTGAGCTCCTCAAGAACAAGGAGGCACTCATACTCATCTTTGCATCCTCTTCGCCTAGCCCCCTGTACTTGATACACAGTTCACCAAACTTGAGCGTAATAATTGGCGGGCAGAGCCTGCGCAGAGTTCTGGAATCCAGTGTGGAGAGGCTCAGCGAGAGGAGCCATGCCCCTTTGGGCGGTCCCGGCCTCAGAGAGCCCGGAACCTTTTTCAGAAGGGTCGTTGTTTCTCAGGGAGCATTTTGGCCGCAAAGCCTGCCCCTCACAAGCATGGTTGCCACGCACCGGAAATAGCCGATTATTTTGCCGGAGCCACTTCTTCCGCGGGGCGGAAAAGGCATGCCTGCTTGTGTCCCAACTATTTCCAGTCCCCTTTCCTCTTAGGACCCCATGAGTAAGCTGTGGCGACGCGGAAGCACCTCTGGGGCTATGGAGGTCCCTGAGCCCGGTAAGCGCGGATAGATCCAACAGTTTAGACTTCGTTAGAAAATAAGTCCCTTTCTTGCTCCTGGGAGCTTTCAGGATACTTCGCCACAGGTGGGAGGAAAGTGGTGGTTCCATAGTTATGGTAACGGAGTACCGCGGAAAACGTGGGATCCCTTAGGGGTATTAGGTTATTAAGGGCTTCCCCTGCCACCCTCCGGCCGGACACTTTGACAGGCCCTTCTTCCTCAGGGGAAGCCCTGGAGTTGAGCCTGGCGGGTGTCCACGGCCACGGAGTCCACAAGAAAAAGCACAAGAAGCACAAGAAGAAGCACAAGAAGAAACACCATCAGGAAGAGGAGGCCGGGCCCACTCAGCCATCTCCTGCCAAGCCCCAGCTCAAACTAAAAATCAAGCTGGGCGGGCAGATCCTGGGCACCAAGAGGTGAGGCCAAGAGGGTCAGGATTTTACTTGGGGAACTCTAGAGGCAGATGGAGAGTTAGAAGCGTACTAGGCCTCCTAGAAGACAGAGTGGACACTGTGACTTCTGAACCGGGCTTTGGCAGCCAGAACCCAAGTGGGTAGGGAAGGCTGATGTAGCTACTGAGCAGGAGGAAGAGACACTTGCTCAGTTTATAGTGTTGCTTCTCTGCAGTGTTCCTACCTTCACTGTGATCCCAGAGGGGCCTCGCTCACCCTCTCCTCTTATGGTTGTGGATAATGAAGAGGAACCTATGGAAGGAGTCCCCCTCGAGCAGTACCGTGCCTGGCTGGGTGAGAAGGATCTGGAGGTGGGGAAGCTGGGTTTTTCATCATGCCTGGCTAAGGAAAGGGGGTTGATTCTGAAGTGGGTTATAACTTTGAATGTCCCAGGATTAACTTGGTCAAATAAATTAGGGTGTCCCATCTTTTTTTTTGAGTCAGCCTTCCGCCTCAGGCTTCCAAGTGGCTGGAACTACAGGTGTGTACCACCACGCCCAGCTAATTTTTTGATTTACTGTAGAGATGAGGTCTTGCCTAGTTGCCTAGGCGTGTCTTGAACCGGTGGGATCTTGCTTTTGCCTCTCAAAGTGTTGGGATTACAGGTGTGAGCCATGGCACCTGGCTAGGGTGCCGCACCTTAACAATTCTACTTTTATCTTTCCAACTTTCCTTCCCAGATGAAGATAGTAATCTGTCCCCCTCCCCACTTCAGGACCTATCAGGGGGTTTAGGGGGTCAGGAAGAAGAGGAGGAACAGAGGTGGCTGGATGCCCTGGAAAAAGGAGAGCTGGATGATAATGGAGACCTCAAGAAGGAGATCAATGAGCGGCTGCTCACTGCTCGGCAGGTAAGTTGATTCATTGTTTTTACTGAGAACTATGTCCCAAGCACTTGGCTGGGCAGTAGGGGATATCAGTAGTGGAGAAAAGATAGGCAGTGTTCATGGAGTGTGTGTGCTTTGGGGAAGGGGTATAAATAAGTAAATAAATAATTTCAAAAAGCTGTTGAATTATGGTGAAAAAAATAGGATGATTAAATAGAAAGTGGTGAAAGAGAGACATCAGAAAGGATAGTCAGAGAAGGCTTCTCTGAAGGGATAACATTTCCAGTACCAGAGGAGCTCTTCAAGCAGAAAGACCACTAAGGGCAAAGACCCAGAGACTGGAACATGCCTAGCAGGGTAAAGAAGAAAAGGTGTGGCCAAGCCACTGAAGGGTATATGCAGAGAAGTGACATATTTGATTTTCATTTCAACAGATTACTTTGGCTTCTTTGTGGATAATCAGTCTTTGTGGAGGTAAGGGATAGAAGCAGGAATGCTAACTAGGAAGCTGTTGAAGTAAACAGGTGGGAAATGGTGGCTTGAACCAAGATGATAGTGGATATGGGCGGGGCACGGTAACTGATGCCTATAATCCCAGTGACTTGAGAGGCCAAGGCAGGAGGATTACTTGAGCCCAGGAGCTGGAGACCAGCTAGGCAACATAGTGAGACCCTGGCTCTACAAAAAGTCAAAAAAATTAGCTGGGTGTGTGGCCCACATCTATAGTTCTCACTATTCCAGCGGCTGAGACAGGAGGCTCACTTGAGCCTAAGAGGCTGAGGCTGCAGTGAGCTGTGACTGCACCACTGCACTCCAGCCTGGGCCACAGAACAAGATCCTGTCTCTAAAATGAAATTAAATTCAAAAAAGAACGTAGTGAAGACGGAGGAAATCAGATGAATTTTTGGATGTATTTTGGGAGATACTTGTTGGGTGATGAGTGGAGAAAGAAGGAATCAAAGGTAACTCTTGAGTTTTTGGCTTGAGCAGTTATCCAACTGATGCTTCTGTTGAGATAAGATTAAAAACAAAAATAGCTACGGGAGAGGTGGTACAGTTTTGGTTGACAGGGCAGGTAGGTAACATTACTAATCCTTTTCCCCTTGAAAGTTAAGGGCCTAAAGCTGAATGTCAGATCTGGGAGGCAGTGGCAAATGAAAAGGGACCTACGGAGGGAGTTCTGGAGAGTGCTTATTAATATCCCTTCTTCGGAGGTCTGCGCCGCTCCTGACCCTGCCTTCCACGTCCCCCCTTCCCCCTCCCCCGATCTGGCCGATCTCGCCTCAGTCTTTCCCCATTGTCAGGCACCGTCCGGCCTCTGTCTCTCCACAGCGGGCTCTGCTCCAGAAGGCACGGAGTCAGCCTTCCCCGATGCTGCCGCTGCCGGTGGCCGAGGGCTGCCCGGCCCCTGCCCTCACCGAGGAGATGCTGCTGAAGCGCGAGGAGCGGGCGAGAAAGCGGCGGCTGCAGGCGGCGCGGCGGGCGGAGGAGCACAAAAACCAGACCATCGAGCGCCTCACCAAGACTGCGGCGCCCAGCGGGCGGGGAGGCCGGG